CCCGATACCGATACCAGTATCGGTATCGGTGCATCCCTATATATAGACATTAACACAAAAAAATACTAAAACATTAACTAAATTTAAAATGAAAACAGAAAAAATAAAAGAATTCAAAATATTAATGAAAAAAAATTATAATAGTAAATAACAATTATAATACTGAAATAACACTGTTTTTTATGTGGCAGCTACATATACATAAATAATTCCATTTAATTACAGCTAATGAGATTTCACAGCAAAAGCGTTTCAGAAATGAAATGAATGCTTATTTTGCATGCTGATTACTCAATTTTGGTTAAATGCAGCTTGGCAGATATATCTGTTTATCACCAATAAAGCACTAAATTGTGATTATGACTGACATCTCTCTCCATAGGCGGCAGTCCATGTGTCTAGTATGCTCTCCAAAGGCAAGTTTAATGAATTGAGAAGTGTGATGTCAAAAGAGGTTAGTTGATTACAGTAAATTACTGGTTTGGCAAACATTTTAAGTCATATAAGACCTATAAAACACTTTTTTGTGCTGTTTACAGGCTGTTGACCGTGTCAGAAAGCAGTGTAAAACTCTGTCAGAGGCCCAACAAAGACATCTTGCGATTTCCCTCGATGACATTATATTTCTGCTGCCTGAGGATGTGTCTGTATTCTTTGACCAGAGCAGTGAGTCTGTTCATTCCTGTTATGCAGAATCTTTTGAAGTCTATAACTTTTTTTAAATGCACTTGTGTTGTAACTTAAGGGATTTCTAAGGATAAAGCAGACTTCCAGAAATATTCTCTCTGGTTAAACTCAGACACTTCAAAGATTAACCATAACTTTATCAACACAATAGCAAGAAATGATTAACCATAACTTCAAAGGAACCTATAAGAATGGAAAAACTGGGCTAAACTGAGCCATTTGAGAATTTAAAGGTCACATTTTTATTTTTTAAAAATGTGTGTGTGGGGGGGACGGGGTGCCTGAAATATTTCCTCATAAATGGCCAGATTGTTATGTTAGAAGTTAGCAGTAAAATAATTTAAATTTCACCTTATGTTCATTTAACTATGATACTGTTTTTATGATTTTTCAATATATTTTCATATATAGGAACATGAAAATATACTACAAAGAAGGAATGACCCAGTGAACCCAACATTAGATCAGTGTGGCAGATCCTAATGGACCAGCAGTCAGACATGGAATTGAACATCTCTTGTCCTCCTAGGCAGAAAGTTTCTTTACATCACGATGAGGCTTTGGTTTCTGTCCAGCGCAGACGTACCTGAGGACCCAGAGAGCTCCCGCATCTTCAAGATGGACATAACTGAAGATGGTCCTCAAAAGAAGATCATCACAGCTGTGTACGAGTAAGTGTGCTGTGACAGAATACAAGAACTATTT